ACCTCAGTGTCTCAGTCCAGTCCTGTATGGAAAGGTGCTTTAAATGATTTTTAAATTCCTAGAACTCCCACTTCACCACTACAAAGATAAATGATGGTAGTGATGTAGAATACCCCTTGTTTCAAGAACAGCAGCCCACATGCACAAGTGGATGAGTTAATGGTTTCCCCCATTTTTCATCCTAAGCATGAAAATCCTTCCTTCCTCCCAAACCATGGTAGTGTCGGGGCTCATAATTAGAAATGTTAACGCCCTGACACACCCCACAGCTCCTTGACCTCATCGGATCAGCCGTTTCCGATCTGCAGATACATTTGTAGAATGATCTTTAGGTTCTCGATGTTTCTGTTTTTCTAGCTGAACTGTTCCAGAGTTTATGCATTCCACTACCAGTCCTTGGCTAATTGGTTTTTCCATTCATTGGAAAGTAAGAGAAGCGCAAACAACAGGTGCTAACCAAAACCTTTCATCAGGCTTGTGATTCCAGAGAACTGGGGAGCTCAGTGCCTTATAAATGAAACTAGGTTTCTGGAGTGGACAGAGGAAAAGCACCTTATGGTGTTTCTGGTTCTATTTCTCAAAGGCTTTGAAGGCTATAATTAGTTGCTGCTGAATCCCGTGGCTGTGGTGCCTCGCAGCTTTATTTCTGGTCTACAGTTCTTCAGTCAGAGAACAGGTTTGATCCAGGCAAGGCCTGCACATATTAAGTTGGGTGCTTCCTGGAGACAGTTGGGACTTTGACTTGAAGACCATGTTTATGCTCCTGGGCCATGCAGGCCTAGGGAACAGTGTTCGCCAAACCGCCCTGGACGAGGGTTGATGGTGGCCGGGGTTGGGAGAACACTGTGAGCCATCAAAGGTGCCTCCCCCTCTCCAGGTATGTGTGGGCTGTGAGCTGGAAGGACACGCGATGAGGCTATGGATTGTACCCTTTCACCTTCACGGAGGCATGATGGATTCCTGGGGTTCTGAGCACAGAAAGTGGGTGGACAGGCAGTGTAAATGGTGGAGCAGCCTGCGTCCATCATCGCCCTCGCCCCATTCTTGCGTGTGTATTCCAAATCCTGAACAAGATCTCTGGGGTTTCTTTAAATATGTCTTCAAGAGTTTATCAGATATGGAAAATAAGATTTGGGGCTTCTTGTCCAAACCCCACCTTTTGAAATCCTCAAACTAGAAATGTAAATGGACAAAACCAATCCCTGATGATAAGTAGTACTGAGGAGTAATGAGTCGTTAGAATGGCCTAGGGGATTTGTGCGTGTTGGGAGGACTCATCACTTTAGGCACTAGGTTATTCGAGAATGAATCCATATTCACCAAGCAGGTTTCATCGCAGGTGGTGTTCAGAGTCTAGTCATCGACGCCTGTTTGACTTTGAGGGGCCTGGAAATCCTGCATTGGGGGCAGGAGATGGAGGGGTCTGTTTGATCTGTAGATTCACCCCAGGACCTTCTGAAATGGCATTTCTTTTTAGTTAGCTCTGAAGCTTCCTCTTTTGCTTTTGCTTTGGCTGATTGGGTCAATGAGAGAAAAAAAAAAGGATTCCTAATCTCGTTATGACCGTGTTTTTAAATGAAGTAAGTAGGTAGGAGATCAAGGCTTTTAGCTTTATATCATCATCTTGTAGCAGATCAGTGTCTAGTGTCTAGTTTAGTGTTTCAGGATTGTTCCTCTTGCTGGGTGGATGTAACAGGCAGATATGCAGGGCTTGCGTCTCATCTCTTCCTTGTTGTTGGTTTCTCAGAGGATTGCCATCTGCTGCGAAAACGTAGTCTGGTTGATGGATGGGTCATCCTCAGGTCCGGCTTTCTTTGTCTCTGAGCCTCCGCCATTCCCTTCTTCTCCTCCTCCTCTCACTTCTTGCAAGTGTGCAAGCCCTCCGTCTTGTAAGCACATCAAGTTTCTGTTTCTTTTGATTGTTTAGGCCCTGTTGGAAATTTCTGTTTTCTTCTTCTGTCAGCGTCTTCAGGAGAAATGTGTACACAAAGGGAAAATGGCTTTCAAAGGAGGCTCCGTCCTCATTTCCGTGCATGGTACAGACATCAGATTGAAGGCCATTCAGCTGCACCTGACGCTGGTTCTCTCGGCAGCCTGGAGATTAACCTCTTCTAAGGCTCTGAGCTATTTTTGAGGTAGAGACTGCAACAACATTAAAGCTAGAACCCATTAGGAAATCACTTTCATCATCTCTTCTTTTTCCAAATCAGTGGGTTTTTTTTTTTTTTTTTTCTGATCTCCTAACCCTTTAATCTCCTTTGTAGCAGAACAAGGAGGCTGTTGGTTTGTGTTTGCATCCAGCGAAGTTAGAATCCTTGATAACAGCTTCAGAAGACACCAAGATATTAGAGAATGGCACAGAGAGATGAATTTCATCTCCAGGTGGATGACTTAATGCTGAAGGTGCCCTCCTTTCCTTGTGCAGGACCAGAATTTTTGTTGATGTTGTGCAAACCAGGCTCAAAATTTCCAAAAGACACCCAGCAGAAAGCCTTTTGTTGCATTATTTCTAAAGGCTCGAAGTTTTGAAGGGAAGAGATTTTGTTTTCCTCTCGGGCTACACAATGGAGCTTTCAGAGAACCTCTTTTAAAAGGAATAGCTACAGCCTTTGTGTTGAAGGGTGTGTCTGTTGGCAGGGTCTGCTGATGCAGACAGACTGGCTGGTGATTAACAAAGGTCATTAGACTTTGGAATCTGGCAAGCAGAGTCGGATGGTATGTCTTCTGTGTGTGGAAGGACGACTCACAAGAAGCCAAAGCATTCTGGAGGTCCCCCCAGCCCACCCCCAAATCCTGCTGTAGAACAGGGTCTGGTCCAGGCTATCGTCCTGCAATTACCAGTGCTCTGCTGGGACTAACGAACAAGCTTATCAATCATGGGATAAAAGAACCTTCGGAGATCTTGGTGAATGACATTTGAGGAGGAGAAAGGTGCTGCCTTTCGGAAAGCAATGAAAACAGTTCATTCTTTGTTGGGAGGAGAAGAGCATAGGAGGAGCCCAGCCTGTTCTTCTACTGCTCATTTCTGATTGTCAGCCTAGCAGAATCCCAGAGAAGCCATGTTGTGCACGGAGGAGAAGCTCTGAGCTAAAATGGCTGCTCCTTAAAGCTCAGAGGACTAGGGCAGCTTAGTGAGTCTTAGAGCTTCAGTGACGCAGAAGCTCATATCTCTTGAAAGTGTGATAAACACATTCAGCAGAGCTGTGGCTTGTTTGGCTGAGATGAAAGGGCTAGGCTTGGGGGATGGGGAGTGCACACTGGATGATCTGCTTTTTTCTGTGAAGTGTTCTAAATGCAGGAGTCGTCTGCACCATGGAAAAATTTGTTTTCAGGTCTAATGGACTGTGCGAAAGGAGAAGTGGGGTGGGGCCTCAGTGACTGCTGTAATTTGATCCAGAGCTGATAGCAACCTCTTCCACACAATTTGGGTTGGTGCTTAGGCATAAAAGCTTGTGTATCTGGAATATTGAGACTTAGTTAGCTGAAAAGACTCTGGTGCACAGTTCAGTGTTTATTGAAAAAGGATAAATTGCTGGGTGAAAGAAGAGGAGGTAAATATCTGTGTCTCACTCTGCAAGCTCAGTCTGTCCAGAGCTCGACTTGCCAGAAGTTATTTTAGCAGGCTATCAGCAGGAGCATTCTTTCATAGAAAATCTGCCCGCGATGGCTCCTTTCTCCACGTTGACATATTACTAGACTTTGTTCCTCCTGCAGAAACAATTTACCTTTTGCCAGAAAAGGATAGAAGCTTGCTGTACAATAAAAGTATAGAAAGATTTGGCTACAGCTTTAGTTCTTGGACATCTGGTTCTAGATTACAGTGACTCAGTAGAGTTTGTGGTGAGCTCAATGAAGTTAACGCACCGATTAAGATAATAACTGGGTATCTCAACTCAAGATATATATTAAGATAGGACAGACAGCACCTTCTGATACATTTTTAACTTCTTAATGGGGAGCCTTTCCATTGAGTTAATGTGAAGCCATCTATGTCTTTCAGTCACGCAGTGAATAACAGAATGAAGGGAGCCGGGCAAGTTTGGCTTGATTCTACATCAGGCTCACAGCTTTTCACGTGTGAGTGTACGCTTCACGTTTGTGAAGGAGAGAAGTGGGAAAAGAGAAAGTTATGACTTAGAAGCCCCTCTTCAAGACTGTGTCTGTTACCTTAATGTAAATCAAGGTACCAAGGTACCAACTTTAAACTAGAAACTGGATTGTCATCTAAAGTTGGTTGTTTGAGAATCTCATGAGAAATATTTTATGACCTAATTAGATTGGAGAGGCTGTTAGGTTATAATTGGTAGGTAGTAAAAAGCAAAATAACCATTTAGCTTATGAAACACACACACACACACACACACACACACACACACACACACGACTAAACTGTTTGGGAAAGGGAGGAAAGAGGTGTACCCCAATATCAGTTAAGATATTTGAATGATAAAAAGTATAGTAAAAGCTCTCACTACCACCATTCCAAGACCCAATACTGTTTCAGCATTTGGTGGTGAAATGTATTAGAATATTAAAACAGCTAATGAAGATTGAAATTTGTCCTTTCTTCTGTACAGACAATCCTCTTTATTTCTGAGAAGGGTCTAGTTAAAAAAAAAAAAAAAAAAAAAGGGTCTAAGCCAGAATCAAACTCAGTATCTGCTTACCAAGAAATCTGAATTCAGTCAAGAAATTCAGAAACTACTAAAACTTTTAAACCATTAAGGGTTTCTTTGACAAATGGCATTTGAAGATATATTTATATCAAACTGGAAAATGTTTATTTGGGATTTCCCCCCTTCTTTGAAGTTACAAAGTCAAGGACATTGTCCCTATTATCTCTGGTTGTGTGTCTTTGGCCAGTGTTCCAACTGGCAAAGTTCAGTAACAGAAATCTGCCGATGTTAGAATTTTTTCCGTTAATGGACTTGTAGACCCATCAACTTGGGATATGCAATTAGTGCATTTCTTAAGAGGCTTTGTTCTGACTTCTGTCTCAGGTTCCTAATGTGAGAAGGTAGGCCCAGATCATGGAGGTGCTTCAGTGTGATGGCTGTGACTTCAGAGCCCCATCTTATGAAGATCTCAAGGCACACATTCAGGATGTCCACACGGCATTTCTGCAGCCAACCGATGTTGCTGAAGACAATGCGAACGAGCCACGATCCGGGTCCATGAATGCCAGTAATCAGACAGAGGTGGAGTATTCTTCTATAAAGGACGAATTTGCGATCGCAGAGGATTTATCAGGTACATCTTTTAAGAATCTCGGCATTTCTGATCTGTTTCGTGGCGCACATCTATTTTTAGCCTGTAGCCACGGTTCTGGATATGTGTGGCTTCGTCAAAGTTTCTTGCTCCTTGGGAGCCATTTTTGTGGTCTGAGCAACATGTTTCCCTCCTGGGGCCTCCTAAGTTGTTGTCCTCTCAGCTTCCTTATGTTTCTTAGTTCCCTTTCAATTTGGGGGACAAGAGAGTGGCTGGTAAAATTCTAGAATGAATATTGCAGCATGTGGAACTTGTATTTTTATAGCTAGAGGACACATTAATGGCGATGAGGTGAGTATTGTTCCTACAGCCAAACACTGCATCCTTATCTGTGCGAAGCAATATGTCTGTGTTCATCAGTGCTTCGTTAATACCCTTCAGGGCCTCATCTCGAGATGTTAGGCCTTTTGAATGTGATGTTTATTAATGAAGAATAACTGGAAAGAAAAATTGATTTGCATGATGGAATTTCTTAATTCTCTTCTGTTTGCTTCTCTGTTCTCATTTACCTTCTGCTTTCTCTCTAGGTCAAAATGCAACCGCACTGGGGACCGGAAGCTACTATGGCCACAGTCCAGGATATTACGGTCAGCATATTGCCCCTAATCCCAAACCAACAAACAAGTTTTTTCAATGCAAGTTCTGCGTCCGCTACTTCAGGTCCAAAAACCTCCTCATCGAACACACAAGGAAGGTCCACGGAGCCCAAGCTGAAGGGAGCGCGGCAGGACCCCCTGTTCCAGGATCCTTAAATTATAATATCATGATGCACGAGGGATTTGGAAAGGTCTTCTCTTGCCAGTTTTGCACATACAAGTCACCAAGGAGGGCAAGAATAATTAAGCATCAGAAGATGTATCACAAAAACAACTTGAAGGAGACTGCGGCTCCCCTCCCTTCCCCTGCTCCAATGCCAGACCCTGTGGTCCCGCCCGTGGCCCTGCAGGACCCCTGCAAGGAACTGCCGGCGGAGGTCGTGGAGCGCAGCATCTTGGAGTCCATGGTCAAGCCTCTGACCAAGTCTCGAGGCAACTTCTGCTGTGAGTGGTGCAGCTACCAGACCCCGCGCCGGGAACGCTGGTGTGACCACATGATGAAGAAGCATCGCAGTATGGTCAAGATCCTCTCCAGCCTCCGACAGCAGCAAGAAGGGACTAACCTCTCCGACGTGCCGAACAAAAGCGCCCCCAGCCCCACTTCCAATTCCACCTATCTGTCCATGAACGCTGCAAGCCGGGACATGCCCAGCGCTAACATCTCCAACTTCCGGGGCTCCATCAGTAACTCCATCATGAGACCCAATTCCTCGTCTGCTTCCAAGTTTTCACCCGTGTCTTACCCACAGATGAAGCCGAAGTCCCCTCACAACTCTGGCCTGGTTAACTTGGCGGAGAGATCGCGTTATGGAATGGCTGATATGACCAATTCCTCGGCCGACCTGGAAACGAACAGCATGCTGAATGACTCCAGTTCGGACGAAGAGCTGAACGAAATAGACAGCGAGAATGGCTTAAACGCCATGGATCACCAGACTTCCGGCATGTCTGCGGACCAGCTGATGGGCTCAGATGGCAACAAATTGTTGGAGACCAAGGGGATTCCGTTCAGAAGGTTCATGAACAGGTTCCAGTGTCCCTTTTGTCCCTTCCTCACTATGCATCGACGCAGCATCTCCCGTCACATAGAAAACATTCACTTGTCCGGAAAGACCGCCGTCTACAAATGTGACGAATGTCCGTTTACTTGCAAGAGCTCATTAAAACTCGGGGCTCACAAACAGTGTCACACGGGTACAACGTCAGATTGGGATGCTGTGAATTCCCAGAGCGAGAGCATTTCTTCTTCGCTGAACGAAGGTGTCGTGTCTTACGAGAGCTCGAGCGTCAACGGGAGGAAGTCGGGGGTCCTGTTGGATCCCTTGCAGCAGCAACAGCCGCCGCCGCCGCCGCCACCGCCACCGCCACCGCCCCCGTCCCAGCCGCAGCCGCCGCAGCTCCAGCCGCCACACCCGGGGCCGCCGCAGCCCCCGCCGCAGCCCCCGCCGCCGCAGCAGCCGCAGCCGCCCGTGCCAGCCCCGCCCCTGCACCCTTACAAGTGCACCATGTGCAGTTACTCCACCACGACTCTGAAAGGGCTGCGAGTCCATCAGCAGCACAAACACTCGTTCTGCGACAACTTGCCAAAATTCGAGGGGCAGCCCTCAAGCCTGCCACTGGAAAGCGAGACAGACAGCCACCCCTCTTCCAGCAACACTGTGAAGAAAAGTCAGACCTCAATTCTTGGGTTGTCCTCCAAGAACAATTTTGTAGCTAAGGCCTCCAGGAAGCTCGCCAATGACTTTCCCCTCGACTTATCGCCCGTGAAGAAGAGAACCAGGATTGATGAGATAGCCAGCAACCTGCAGAGCAAGATTAACCAAACGAAACAGCAGGAGGACACGGTGATCAACGTGGAGGATGACGAGGAGGAAGATGAAGACAATGAAGTGGAGATAGAGGTGGAGCTGGACAGGGAGGAGGAGCCGGCGGAGCCAGTCCTGGAGGTGGCCCCTTCCTTCTCGGCCCAGCAGATTTGGGTGAGGGATGCCGGGGAGCCCCAGAAGGAGCCCAACTTCAGAAGCATCACCCACGATTACAACGCCACCAATGGCGCGGAGATTGAGCTCACCCTCTCCGAAGACGAAGAGGATTACTACGGCTCCTCCACAAACATGAAAGATCACCAGGTTTCCAGCGCGGCTCTGCTGAACACCCAGACTCCCATCTATGGAGCAGAGCACAGTAGCGAGAACACAGACTTTGGTGACTCTGGAAGGCTTTACTATTGCAAACACTGTGACTTTAACAACAAATCTGCCCGGAGCGTCAGCACCCACTACCAGCGAATGCACCCGTACATTAAATTCAGCTTTAGGTACATCCTGGACCCCAATGACCACAGTGCGGTATACAGGTGCCTGGAATGCTACATCGATTACACCAACTTTGAAGACCTGCAGCAGCATTACGGCGAACACCACCCAGAAGCCATGAACGTACTCAACTTCGACCATTCGGACCTGATCTACCGGTGTCGGTTTTGTTCCTACACGAGCCCGAATGTCAGAAGCCTGATGCCGCATTACCAAAGAATGCATCCCACGGTGAAGATTAACAACGCGATGATATTCTCCAGCTACGTCGTGGAGCAGCAGGAAGGGCTGAATACGGAATCCCAGACGCTGAGGGAGATTCTGAATTCGGCCCCCAAGAGCATGGCGACTTCCACTCCCGTGGCTCGCGGTGGCGGTCTGCCAGCGACGTTTAATAAAAGCACTCCTTCAAAGACCTTTACTCCAGAATGTGAAAATCAGAAGGACCCCTCAGTTAACACTGTTGTCGTTTACGATTGTGACGTTTGCTCGTTCGCAAGCCCCAACATGCATTCTGTCTTGGTTCATTATCAGAAGAAACACCCTGAAGAAAAGGCTTCCTACTTTAGGATCCAGAAAACCATGCGAATGGTGTCTGTGGACAGGGGCTCTGCCCTTTCTCAATTATCATTTGAGGTGGGTGCTCCAATGTCTCCCAAAATGTCCACCATGGGTTCCCCACCCCCCCCACAACCCCCGCCACCAGACCTCAGTACTGAGCTTTACTACTGCAAACACTGTTCCTACAGCAATCGGTCAGTTGTGGGAGTGCTTGTCCACTACCAGAAAAGACACCCAGAAATAAAGGTTACTGCCAAATATATCAGACAGGCTCCTCCCACAGCTGCAATGATGAGAGGGTCCGAGGGGCCCCAAGGCTCCCCTCGGCCACCCGCCCCCATGCAACAGCTGAACCGAAGCAGCTCTGAGAGAGATGGCCCTCCTGTGGAGAATGAGATGTTCTTTTGCCAGCACTGTGATTACGGGAACCGGACGGTCAAAGGTGTACTCATTCACTATCAGAAGAAGCACCGAGACTTCAAGGCCAATGCAGACGTGATCCGGCAACACACGGCCACCATCCGAAGCCTCTGTGACCGCAACCAGAAGAAGACTGCCAGCTGTGTGCTTGTCGCCCCCTCTGCCGTGGAGCGGGACAAAACCAAACTGCGAGCGCTCAAATGTAGGCAGTGTTCGTATACCTCCCCCTACTTCTATGCACTGAGGAAGCATATCAAGAAAGATCACCCTGCCCTGAAGGCCACAGTCACCTCCATCATGCGGTGGGCATTTCTAGACGGCTCGATAGAAGCTGGCTACCACTGCGAGTGGTGCATCTATTCCCACACAGAGCCCAGCGGTTTGCTTCTACATTACCAAAGGAGGCATCCAGAACACTACGTTGACTATACTTACATGGCTACCAAACTCTGGGCTGGGCCCGACCCATCCCCTCCCTCTCTCACGATGCCTGCCGAAGCCAAAACGTACAGATGCCGAGACTGTGTTTTCGAGGCCATGTCCATCTGGGACATCACCAATCACTACCAAGCGTTCCATCCCTGGGCCATGAACGGTGATGAGTCGGTGCTGCTAGATATCATCAAGGAGAAAGATGCCATCGAGAACCCCATCCCTCCTTCCGAAGAGCTGGTGGGCCCCATGAATTGTGAAAACAGTATGCCCGCTCCGCTCCCCGAGCAGGACACCGAATGCCCAGAGGACGCCAGGCTTTCCCCGGAGAAAAGCATCCAGTTGGCTTCGGCCAACCCCGCCATATCGTCCACCCCGTACCAGTGCACGGTGTGCCAGTCCGAGTATAACAACCTGCATGGCCTCCTTACCCACTACGGGAAGAAGCACCCCGGCATGAAGGTGAAGGCTGCCGACTTTGCCCAGGACATCGACATCAACCCGGGCGCCGTCTACAAATGCAGGCATTGCCCGTACATCAACACCCGCATCCACGGCGTCCTGACCCACTACCAGAAGCGACACCCGGCCATCAAGGTGACCGCCGAGGACTTCGTGCACGACGTGGAGCAGTCCGCTGACATCACCCAGAACGACGTGGAGGAGACAAGCAGGATCTTCAAGCAAGGCTACGGCGCCTACCGCTGCAAACTGTGTCCGTACACGCATGGCACCTTGGAGAAGCTCAAAATCCACTACGAGAAGTATCACAATCAGCCTGAATTTGATGTGTTTTCCCAGTCGCCCCCGAAGCTGCCAGTCTCCCTCGAGCCCGAGATGACCACTGAGGTGAGCCCTTCCCAGGTGTCGGTCACCGAGGAGGAGGTGGGAGAGGATCCTGTGTCCACGTCTCACTTCTCTACCTCGCACCTGGTCTCCCACACGGTGTTCCGGTGCCAGCTGTGCAAGTACTTCTGCTCCACGAGGAAGGGCATCGCCAGGCACTACCGCATCAAGCACAACAACGTGCGAGCCCAGCCGGAGGGCAAGAACAACCTCTTCAAGTGCGCCCTGTGTGCATACACCAACCCCATCCGCAAAGGGCTGGCGGCGCACTATCAGAAGCGCCACGACATCGACGCCTACTACACCCACTGCCTGGCAGCCTCGAGGACCATCAGCGACAAGCCCAACAAGGTGATCATCCCGTCTCCGCCCAAGGACGACTCCCCGCAGCTCAGCGAAGAGCTCCGGCGGGCTGTGGAGAAGAAGAAGTGCTCCCTGTGCTCCTTCCAGTCCTTCAGCAAGAAGGGCATCGTGTCCCATTACATGAAGCGCCACCCGGGGGTGTTCCCTAAGAAGCAGCACGCCAGCAAGCTGGGCGGCTACTTCACCGCCGTCTATGCCGACGAGCACGAGAAGCCGCTGCTGATGGAAGAGGAGGAGAGAGGCAGCTTCGAGAAAGCCGAGGTGGAGGGAGGCGAAGCCCAGGAGATCGAGTGGCTCCCGTTCCGCTGCGTCAAGTGCTTCAAGCTGTCCTTCAGCACGGCGGAGCTGCTGTGTATGCATTACACTGACCACCACAGCCGGGACCTGAAGAGGGACTTCGTCATTCTGGGCAGCGGCCCCCGCCTGCAGAGCCCCGCCTACCAGTGTAAGCACTGTGATAGCAAACTGCAAAGCACAGCGGAGCTGACCTCACACTTGAACATTCACAATGAGGAATTCCAGAAGCGTGCCAAACGTCAGGAGAGGAGGAAACAGCTTTTGAGCAAGCAGAAATATGCAGATGGTGCTTTTGCAGATTTCAAACAAGAGAGGGTAAGGATATGTTTTGATTTCCCTTCCCCCAGGAGGCCTCTCATCACTGGTGCCCACATGCACTTCTTCGTTGCCAGCCAGACTGCTACAGGCTTCCTAGTGACTTAGCTTGCCAGAGAGCTCAATAAGTCAATTAAACATTTCGAGCCTGATTATCCCCCATTCTGTGCTCACCCTTCTCCACGGCCTGTTCCCCTCCCTGCCACCCCTCCCCAGGCTCCCCAGGGGAGGGTTGGGGTGGTTTCTCTGTATTTCCTTCTGCCAAGTAGCCTTATCTGAGGCCTAGTTACACGACAACGCTCGCTCTCTGAGGCAGCCGTGGGCCGTCTCTTGGTGTCCCTAGCACCTCTCAGCCATGCCTTGGTCTGCGGTGTCTGCTACATGAACCTAACATCTCCAGGAGTAGATTTTTGCCTGTTTGTTTGTTTTGGTCAAGAAGTTCACTAATGGCGTAACTATGCAACGTTTCACCTGCGTAGTTGAAATTGGTTTCAAAAGCAGATAACCTGTGGCAGTGACGATGAGGCTTCTCCACAGAAATCTTCTCTACTCACAAGCTGTAACGTATTTGGGTTCCGGAGACTTTGCATAGTAGGCAGCGTGCCACGACTCTGACGAATTCGTTATGTAAAAATACTCACATATTTCTCCCTTGGTTTTTAACCTGCTAATCTGCTTTGAAATAAAATCTGCTAGTAAGCTACGAGAGATAAATGCCGGCATTTGAGGGAGGGCTCAGAGTACTGATGGCTACCACTGTATTTTACCAGCCTTTTGGTCACTTAGAAGAGGTGCCAAAGATCAAGGAGAGGAAGGTGGTGGGCTACAAGTGTAAATTCTGTGTGGAAGTGCACCCGACGCTCCGAGCCATCTGCAACCATCTCCGGAAGCACGTCCAGTACGGCAGCGTCCCGGCCGTGTCCGCCGCTGTGAAGGTGAGGACCGCGGGCGGGGGGGTGGGGGGGGGGCGGTCTGGATGAGCGTTCTCGTGTGTGAGCCGTTCGAGTTACTTATTAACCCCATTGCTCGGAGCAGCTCAGGAAAGGGCGGCCCAGAACGTGGGCATTCCTGAGCTGTGCTTGGATCGGTCTGGCTTGTTTTGATTTTTTTGCAGGTTGGACCTTCTTCATCTTACGTGTCTCCACCTGGTCGCGTTTCGATCTGGTTCCCTTCCACGCGGATAGTTTGGTGGAAACAGAAGATCCGGGCCTCTCGGTACAGGAGGCTTTGGGTCGCCCTTCTGTTCTGCATTTAGTGCCGTTAGGTGTTTGCTCTTCCAAGTTGCCCGAGCTCTTGAAAGGAATCAAGTGGGTCCTGTTCCCATCATCTTCTGCTCCTCCCACTGCCTGACTTCTTAACTGTTCTCATCTGGCTGACGGTGCAGAGAGCCCAGGAGAATCCTTTACTTCTTATCCTGGGTCTTCTGAGGAGTGTAAGAAATGTGAAGTCTAAAACTAAACGCCTCCAAGTCACAGCCGGCCCCGAGAACCCCTTGACCTGGTTTGTCTCCTTTGTTGCCTTTCCCGGTTTGTCACTGGCCAGTGCCTCCCCCTCTTCCCCCCTGACCTCTACTAGGCCGCCTGTTTGGAACCGTGTAATCCTAAAGAGCAGCCCCTGTTTTGGGAACCACGCCGCCACCCGTGCCTTCCGGGACATGGCCGAGCACATATTTTTGAGCAGAGAAGTTAGTTAGTTCAGGGCTCTGCTCTTTGTCTCTAGATACGTGAATATATTTTTGTCATCTGCCCTTCTTCATCTTGTGTCCTATTTTGCCCACGTAGCATGGACGTAAAGTCTCTGCTTTTCTTCACTGAAGACTGAAGCCCTCTGGCTGTCAGCAGAATGGAGGCGCCCAGGGGTGGCGGCGGTCAGCTTCTTCCACGCCACCGTGGTGTGTCCCAGGCTTGTTTCCTGGGCTCACTCGAGGGAGGCAGAGCAGCTCTTCGTGTGTAAATAACCCAAGGAGTCCCCTCCAAACATGAGTGACTTAGAACCGGGCTGCTCCTTAATTTGTTTCAGTGGATCATACGGCAGCCTTCGGTCAGTGGGTGAAGTCCCCTTCCGCAGGGTGGGGGTGAGCACGGATGGCAAAGGGCGGGATCCTGCCCTCTCCTTCACTTCTAAGGACGGCCCACAGCTCCTAGCTGCCCAGACTACGCTGCTTTTTCCCCCTCCTTTCTTCCTTCCTTTCTTTTCTCTGAGCCATAACCCTAACCCTGCTTTCTGTCAGCTCAAGTGGGATTGCGGTTTGTTCTTTTTAAGATGGGAGATGAGTGAGTGAACTGCCTTCACACTTGGGAGAGCCCGTCTCTCGTGCTTCCCGGGCAGTAGCAACCGTGTCCTCAGATCACCAGCACTGCATGAAGAGTGGCAGTCGGGTTTGCCCTCCCTCTAGGGGGAGCCGGAGAGGCAGGGGAGGAAGCTTTCCCAGGAAGCCCTGAGGAGTTTGGGAGAATGAAGGGAGAGGAGAGCTGGAGACGATGATGATGGATATTTATTTTGTTGGTGGGGCGTGTGTGTGTGTGTGGTTCTCTTAGCAGGAGGCCGAAGACCCCTCCCACTTGTTCCTGGATGGATTGGAAGCAGCCAAAGATGCTGGCGCCCTCGTGGACCGGGTGGATGGTGAACACTGCTTGCTTGATGGAATGTTGGAGGATGAAACCCGGCCGGGGGGATACCATTGTAGTCAATGTGACAGAGTCCTGATGTCCATGCAGGGGCTGCGTTCTCATGAGAGGAGCCATCTGGCCCTGGCCATGTTTACCCGCGAGGACAAGTACAGCTGCCAGTATTGCTCCTTTGTTTCCGCTTTCAGGCACAAGTAAGTGCTCTCGAGTGGTCGTCAGTGGTTCCCTGGGAGGAGGTGCCGGAGTGGTCAGCCGGGGCTCGGCCGAGCTAGAGCAGGAGAGGCTTGGAGGAGCCAGAAAGCCCCGCTCTAGGTTCCTGCCTGCCGTCCAGTTGGTTACGTTCCCTTGAGCCTCAGTCACCTGGTCTGTCAAATGGGACTAAGAATAGGAGATTGCTTAACATTAATTAGACTTGGCAAATACAGGCTTCTTTTAAATGAGTAATTTGGAGGCACTGCTATGATTTACAAGAGGGAAGACCAGACAGTAGATGAATGTGCTAGTGTTATCTGTCACAGACATTCCTCCAGAACCTAATCATCAGTTGAGGAAAAGTTCCCTTTGGGAAACGGAGTGGCCGAAGGAGGTCAAATTAGGACTATTGACCCATGTGACCAAAAGATGGTTGCTTGATCTTTTCAAAAAGATCGTGGAAAGTAAAGAAGTTACTGATGCCAAAAAGCTGCTTGAAGGACAGGGCCGTTGAGAAGGGGCTGCCCGAGGGCCGTCGTGGCTTTGGAAGTGTAGATTTGGGGTGTTGTGTAAGGCTTGTGGGGGTGATGGGAAGAGGGATGGTTCTGAGAAGCAGCAGTCGTTTTGTTGCCTTTGAGCTGTGTCAGAGAGGTCGCTGCGTCAGAGAGTATGTGTTCAACAGTGTGTGCCACTGTCTTGGATGGCGGTGACCGCTCGTAAGACTGACCCGCTGTTTGTTTTTCCAGTAATTGAAAATAAATATTGGGCCGTTTGCTTCTCAGAAAGATAAAGTGCTAGTTAGTTGTTGAAAGGGAGGTGGCAGTGCTTTTACGGGGTGAGGGTAGGGGTGGTTATGGACCCCATTCTCCAGAGCCTCATGGCTCATCGTTGTCCCCGTGTGCACCTCATGAGCTCATGAAGTATTTGTTCAGCAGCATCTATCCTGCTTTCTGACAGCCCATAGAATCTCAACAAATCGTAGCGAATAAATGGACATGCCCTGTGCTAAGCAGTGTCCTGGGGACTTTGGGAGGGTGGATATAAAGGGGAACCTAAAAGCTGAGACTGTGGTCAGTGCGCCAAGGGAATTTAAGGTCTAGCTGAGTTATAAGTAAAGCAAGCAAGCACACAAATGACTCAGCAAAATAAGGCACAAGTCTTTAAAAAATATATCAATAGAATGCTATGAAGCTTCAAAGAAGGGAAGTGATCCACCCACTGTGAAAGAATCGGGAAGGTTTTATGGAGTAGGGAGCATTTGAGTCGAGTCTTAAAGTAGGAAGACTTTAATGGTTTGGAAAGGACGTACAACGTGGAGGAAGGGATGAGGGCACACGCCTGGGGAGCAGAGTGTGAGGCTCGTGGGGGCCCAGCTGGCGGCCCAGGCTCACTGATCTGTAAGTTTTAGGTAAAAGAATAATGGAAGATAAAGTGCATACTTGAGTAAAGACCACATTTGGAGTCTTTGAATGTGGAATTAATACTTTGTGATTTACAGAACTGGCCACAGGAAGGCTCTGAAAGGAGTAAGTTATCGTAACTGCTCACGTTTCTTGAGCCTTACTGTGTGTCAGGCAGTGTGCTAAGTGCCTTCAGGTATTAACTTGTTCTGTTCTTAAATCAGCCCTGTAAGGTATGGTCCCGTTACCATCTCCATTTCGCGGATGAGAAAAGTGAGGAGGGTTGTGTACTTGCCAAGGCCACACGGTTTATAAGGAATAGCTGGGGTTTGATCCCAAGCAGTCTGATTCCAGAGCTCATGCTCTTGAGTTGAGAACAAGGTGGGAGAGAGCAATTAGGAGGCAGTAGTCGTAGCTGATCCAAGAAGTTCGGCTGGAACTTTGGGAATGGTTAAAGGAAGTAGGATCTTCATGACTTGGAAAAATTGACTTTATGCGGGGGATGAGGGATGAGAGACAAAGTAAAGTACAAACGGCACCTAGGGGCCCAGTCTGGTCGGCTGAGAATGCTCATGTCCTCTACAGAAGCAAGGGAATGAGAAAGAGCGTTAGTTTGGAGGGGTGGGGAACCGATGGCTCTGTTTAGGGCTAGCTGAGTTTAAGAAAGCTAAAGGACACCCAGAGGGAGAGGTCCGGAGGCAACTGAAAGTGCTGCTCAGGAGAACATTATGTGTTTAATGGTAAGCAACCCCAATCTCATGTGAGTCATTTCGAAGGGAATCTAGTTCTCTGGGGCACTGGTACAAACTAGAACTTCTTCCCACATCTTGTCTGGTAGATTTATTATTTTTTAGCAATCATTATGAAATACTGGGAGTTTGCTATAATTAAATAACTTCTTTATAAGTTGCTCTGGAAGACTGAGGTTCAGTGAACATGGTTGGGTTTATCAGAAGGGGTGACTGGGCCTTTGGATCACGTGACTTTCTTTAAACACACCTGTGCTTTGCCTCCATATTTACAAAGGCGCTGGAAACATCACAGCCCATTGCAAGTAGCTCAAGTACTTTGAAACTTCCCTTCTTGCATTAAAAAAGTCCTTTTTAAATGCAAAATTTCTCTAACTCCTTTTTTTTTTTTTTTTTGGTGGAAATAAGTTAAAGGACTGTTTGATAGGTACACCTCACTGACTTGGCAGAAAACTTGAATTCTCTCTTATTTTACCTTTTGTCTTCAGATGCCCTCTTCCCATTCTACATCCTTCTAGGGAAGGGAGAAGAGGGTCTACTATGACCTTTCCCACTGCCAAGTCTCGTAATCCAAAAAGGCTCTTGATCTCTTCCTCCCTTTGGAATAGGTACAACCACTCTTGTCATTTTTGTTGTTGTTCTGGGTAAGCATCATCCTTGGAAAGGAACAAAGTGACTTTGAACACCTTTGAACAGGGATTGCTGGAAAAGGGTAGTGAGGAAATACATGTAATGGATAATCCTGTCATTTTTCTTTTCTCTTTTATTTTTCTGCCATATCAAGCTTGGATCGCCATATGCAAACCCACCACGGACACCATAAACCATTCCGATGCAAACTCTGCTCCTTCAAGTCCTCCTATAACAGCCGGCTGAAAACACATATACTCAAAGCTCATGCTGGTGAGTTAGCCTCCCTGATGCACAGGTTCTCTGAATTGGAAATTCAGTGGTCGTCCTCCAGTGAAATCCAGAATCTTTTGTCTCACACACGAGAAGGTATTCTTGACGTGGTTGTGTGTTCATCTCTATTTTAACCTAATGAAGTAACATTAAGAAAAATTATAGAAATCACACAAGACCAAAATACTACCAAGCCCGTGTCACCCATGTCATAGTTGATTAATACGACTAACAGATTTTGCTGTTTAGAGGAATTTCTGAACTACCCAGCCCTTCTAATGGAAACGCATGAATTGTTACATCCACTAAAGATAATTCCCAACTAAAACAAGAATATAATCTTGAGGAAGTTCAGAGGGGCAAAGTACTCAAGACATGTAAGATTTCTCATGAGATGCCCTTAGATACGTTGCTGTACATCAGATAAGAAATGACTTTGGGTCATGAGTGTCCAGGAGCTGTGGTGGTCTCAGTAACTCCGTTGTTCCATCTCATGGCGCTTGCCTCATGGGCATCCCTTACCTGCTGGGCTCTGCACTGAGCATGTTATATTCGTCATACTATTTAATCCTCATGAAAGTCTTAAAGGGTAGGGGGTGTTGTCACCGTTAGTGTCAGATGAGGATACAGAGACTCAAAATTAAGTGATCTGTTCAAGGCCATGTAGACCATTCACTAAGAATTTGACTCCAGAACAAAAACCTACATCCTCATCACGGACAAGATGCTGCTGTTCTCTCTTTCCCACATATGATGGAGGCTGCCCCCAGGTAGCAAATCAGAGCTCAGCTGCGACAGGAAAGAGGTGGTCTGCAGGAAAGGCAGTGGAGATGGGTCTGGGGGCCTCTCTGTGGTGTCGTCAGTCACTCTCAGAAGCCCAACTCGACCCCGAGGCCCTCTCAGGTTTCGACCACCTTTCCTGATGTTGGGTCCAGTTGAACTGGCTTAATGGAGTAAAACCACTGAAGCCATCCAGCTGCCCTTCACCCCACTGGGCTGCGGATGGGACAGGGAGACTGGCTCTGTGGACTTTGGTTCGTCTGTTAGTATTTTTATATTTTCAGGCAAATTCTACTAACGGCTATGGAGTAAGAAGCTTCGGGGTTCAAACACTACTTTCTAATGTGTGTGTATTGTAAACTATTCAGTTGGGACACCATCCTGGGGAGTTTCCTCATAGGCCTCCTCCTTGTCAAAAGTACTTTAAGCAGTGGGAGTTGGGTAAATGATTTGGCCTGTGGGAAGGACTTGGAAAGAGTGCCAGAGGCTGCCTGCTGACACCAGGGCACTGAGCTGACCAAGCAGACTGGCCTTCCGTGCTCACTGGTTGGCAAGAAGGAAGCCTCCAGAAAGTGGGGAGGGGGGTGGGGATGCAGCGTAATTTGTTTCTCTGCACACCTTGGAACCGTGGTGTCCATTGCATGGCTTTTAGCTACTGATAGTGGCTTGGCTTGGAGAAAGCCACATACATTTCTCAGGACTCTTGATTCCTCTTGTCTATTCTAGATGGACTGTTTTATTGTAAAGGGTAGAAGTCCTATAGACTGATCAGATAATCCGGATTTGAATTCTCTTTTACATTGTGCTACCTAAAACTACCCAACCAGGTTCATGTAGCCCGGCTTGCATTAAAAAATGTAAAAATGGACTAAGGAGGGCAATAGTAGTATATACAGTAATTAATCTATATGAACATCTACATGTATATATTATTTTGTGATTAATATTATATATATTCATATTTATCATAGTAGTAAACACCATTGTTCACAAGCCGGCATCATCCTGACTCCCGGAAAACTCCCTGACTCCTGGGGAGACAACTGACTGATGTTCCTGTTGGGGTCATCTGACTTTGAACTTCTCTGCCTTGGGCTATAGCTCGTTGCGTCACTCAAGGTTCTTCCTAGTTCTCTTCAAGGCTTTCTTGGCTGTACAGGCTCTAGGAGTCATCAGTGGGAAAGTGGAGGCTTAGGGCAGAATTGGAGATGCTGTGCTCACTTCACAGGGGAAACCACATAGCACTTCGCCAGGCGGCAAGGCAGCCACCATCTGAGCTGAGTGAGAGCGGGGGCAGGGGCTTCCCTTCTCATTCCTGCTGTGCGGCTCTGTCCACAGCTCCTTCTCACGGGCTCACAGGACTTTCAGTGCTAAAAGTCTTTTCCGCTTCTTTTTTCCTCTCCTTCTCTTTCCTCTCCTCTGGTTTTAAAATTTCAACTTAAAAATAAATGTGGGAAAACTCATGCTCATTAGAGAAATTTTGGAAATGAAAAAAGAAATCTAGCCGGTCACCCATAATCTTATTATCTAAAGACCACTGTTGTTAACATTTGATAACGTTTCCTTTCAACCATTTCCTCTATAATTATTTTTTAACAGTTATATATATAATTTAATGCAAAATATATTGTGCCTTTCTATTTATTTTTCTGAGTGTCAGGATTTTATTTTCTGCTACTTTTTATATTATTACAAACTCTTCAAGAATGTATTTTAGTGAATGATAATTCATCATGAAGCTGTGTCCACATATACTTAATCGTTTCCATCTGGCTGGAAATCCCTGTGTATTAAAGGGTATTTTCTAGGGGCTCCTGGGTGGCTCAGTTGGTTAAACATCCATCTTTGGTTCAGGTCATGATCTCACGGTTCGTGAGTTCGGGTCCAGGCTCAGTGCCTGGAGCCTGCTTCAGATTCTGTGTCTCCCCCTCTGTCTCCGCCTCTCCCCTGCTTGCACTCTGTCTCTCTCTGCCTCTGAAAAATAAACGTTAAAAAAATTAAAGAATAGTTTCTTAATATGAACTCTGAGAAGTGCAGCTATTGAGCTGCAAACATGAGCAATTCTAAGCCTATTGTCATAAAAAGCAAAACTGCTTTCTGAGTCCACTTAACCAGTGTTTGTCCAACAACATAGGCATGCCCATTTCACAGCCTCGCTTTTTAAAATGTAGTTAGTTTAAAAGCTGACTTAGGGCGAAGGTAAATTGTCGTCTCATCGGATCATAGTGATCTCTGCTGTATTTCAGTGGTATAAAAATGATTAAAACAAAAATGCCTACTTTTACTGAAATATCCTGTTTATAGAAGAATATTGGAGACACACACACACACACACACACACACACACACTTATACATAAACAACTATCATTTATTTAAAAAACATTATTTTTAATGTTTTATTTATTTCTAGGAGAGAGAGAGAGACAGCGTGAGCAGGGAGGGTCGGAGAGAGAGGGAGTCACAGACTCTGAAACAGGCTCCAGGCTCTGGGCTGGCAGCAGCACAGAGCCCGACGCGGGCCTTGAACCCATGAACCGTGAGATCATGACCTAAGCGAAAGTCGGACGCTTAACTGACTAAGCCACCCAGGCGCCCCTATCTTTCTCTCTTTTAGTTAAAGAAATGACTTCAGGTGCCTGGGTGGCTCAGTCAGTTATGCATCTGGCTCCTGATTTTGGCTCAGGTCATGATCTCATGGTTCATGAGATCAAGCCCTGCTTTGGGCACTGTACTGACAGTGCAGAACCTGCTTGGGATTCTCTCCCTCTCCTTTCTCTCTGCCCTTCCCCCAGGCATGCATGCGCTGTCTCTCTCTCCTCCTCTCAAAGTAAATAAATAAAGCTTAAAAAAGAAGAAATGACTTAGTTTTACCCATTTCTGCACTATTGATTAGGTAGGAGCATGGAGTTTTATGCTGAGGTTTGTGAACTGGTACAAAAGAAACAAACCAAGAACTAGGATGTATGGAATGGAGTAGGTGTATAGTCAGCAAAGAAGTAAAGAATGAAAATAGCACAATAGAGTTTGTGCTTAGTTACCTGGTGCTTGGAAAGCCCCTGCTGGGCCCTGGGAATAAGAATTAAGCATATTATATTCTGCAGATGATAAAAGCACCCTTGAATGAAAGCCGACATCATCCTTTCTAGGGGAGAGAGGGAGAACAAGAGACTGGGACACCTTTCTGTAGGAGGGATCATACACATTTGGTTTCACTCTCTGTTGAGGAATTAGTACACAGGCTCATCCCTGTAAGTAGAGCACGAAACGAAGAGGGCCCAGGTCGCTTGGTTATGGAGCTCATTGAAGAGTTCCAGTCCTAGAGGAGCATCATGTTTTTGGGACGGGGTGGGTACTTGGTCCGTGAGGGCTTCTTAGACCATGAAATTTCAGAGATCCTTCTCTCTTCTCTCACGTGACTTAACTATGTCATTCTGTTTTCCACCCCACCTGATACCCCCCTTTTTCCTGTTGCGCCCCTTCCCACCATCGTCTTCCAGGTGAACATGCCTACAAGTGTTCTTGGTGCTCGTTTTCCACCATGACAATCAGCCAGTTGAAGGAACACTCCCTCAAGGTTCACGGAAAAGCCCTGACCCTCCCCAGGCCGCGGATTGTCAGTCTGCTCTCCTCGCACGCTCACCACTCCTCCCAGAAAGCTGCCCCTGCCGAAGAAGTGGAAGACTCTAATGGTAATATTGGGCTCCCGAGCCACAGCTAACCACCCAAGGTGGAGGTGGGTTGGGATCAATTGCCAGTCATTCTTTCTAGAGGAAAATCTTCTACAAAAACCTGACGGTTCAAGTGAAGGAAGAAATGTGGAAAGGTTGAAACTATAGAGAAATTGGAGTGGGAAGGTGAAGTGCCCTCGGTGAGTGTCTGGTGCCATGGCAGAAATGTTGGTCTAGACTTGCGTGAGCATTGGCCGCGTCGAAGGGCTAGTGTTGGAGTCTTCTGTGTTGTGAGCAAGAAAGTAGATTGGGTGTCAGGCAGGCCTATTTCTTTGTTTACTTAGTTACTTCTTTATATCCTGCCTTGTTTCAAAAAAACCCAAAACCATGTGCCATGAAGTCTCTGGGGTGCCCCTCTCCACAGAAAACAGAGGAGGGGAGGGAAGGGGTAATGGATGGGGGGCAAGTATGTCTGACCCCATCATAAGATAATTTTAGGGGTAATGTGATTTCTTAGAGCCAGAGGATATTGAGGAAGTAGCTGTTGGGAGGAGGGTTTAACTGCCCAGTCTTGAGGCTTCAGAAGAAATACAGGAAGCCGAGGAGGGCTCTCCTCACTGGCAGCGTGCCCAAAACTGGGGGTGGGGGTGGGGTGGGGCAGGGGTCAAAAGGATGGTTCACTGTTTTGACCAGACCAAGAAAAACAGAGGGTGTTTTGATTGCTCAGCTCACCTCAGGTGAGCACGGAATCAGGCGCTTAGGACAGGAGGAGGCGTGCGGATTCTCGGGATGTGGAAGACCCGAGAGCTGCTCCCTCCCTGCCCCGCGTGCTCCAATCTCCTCCCCAGCACCTCCAGTAGCCAGACATCTACTGACAGCTCCAGCTCCTCCCAGCCTGGGAACGAACTGTTCCCAAGGGCTACTGTTTCATTCCTGGGAGGAGCTTAGTGGGACTGGAAGGAAAGTTCATGGGCTCTTTGCAACAAAGCCTTGGCTTCTTGTCTGACCTCTCTCAATGCCAGTCGTATTTTCCTGGGCAGTCTCCTACATGCTCATGGAATCGGATAATGATACTCCGTTCGCTGATTATCTTGAGAGATTAGGGAGAAAAGGCACATGCGTTAAAGCATCGAATACAGCATCTGACCCATGGTGGGTGTTTAATAAAAGGTCATTTTATTGCTGTGATTTTCATCCTTTGACTGCACTTTTGGACTTTGGGGCCATTTCTAACAAGTGTGAATTTGGAGTTATCTTTCATGTAAAAGTTTAAAAAGATAGCCTCTTCAGGTAACCTGAAGATCTGCCAGCCCAACATGTCAGCGTGGTCTGATTATCAGATTATCAGAAGAGTCCACGAATAATCTTCCTTCATGAGGTCTGCAGAAAGACAGCTGTGGGAGAAGGGAAGGGGAGTTCCAAGACTAGAACTTTGTTGAGTTAGGGAACATGGTGGCCTCGCCTTTCCAGTCATCAAACGCTGTGCTAAACACAAGCACTCCTGACCGGTATTCCTGTCTTAAAGCACTTTGGTTTAACAAGGATAGGCTTTGTTATTAAGACTGTGGCGTGTAATAAAGTGAATCTTCTTCACTGCTGTGTATTAGTTTAAAGTGTAGGAGGAAGCCTGGTGCATATTGTTGTTTTCTTGGAAAACTTGGAGTCTCAGAGCTGGGGGTGGGAGGCAGGGAATGTGTGTGAAAGAGGATGGAAGATATCCTCTTTGCACCTTGAGATTCTCTTCATTGGAAAAGATAGGTATGCTGCAACAAAGGGCAAAATATCTTTTGACATACATTGTTAAAATTTTTATTAACATGGTTTTATTTATTTATTCATTCATTTATTTATAATTTTTTTCAATGTTTTATTTATTTCTGAGAGAGAGAGAGAGAGAGAGAGAGAGCGAGCTTGAGCAGGGGAGGGTCAGAGAGAGAGGGAGACACAGCATCTGAAGCAGACTCCAGGCTTTGAGCTAGCTGTCAGCACAGATCCCGACGCGGGGCTCGAACCCACGAACCGTGAGATCATGACCTGAGCCAAAGTCGGATGCTCAACTGACTGAGCCACCCAGGCGCCCCTATTAAAATGGTTTTTAATTAAGTGTGTTCATCTGAAATGGATGCTTTACCTGCAGAGCCATTTGTGTGAAATGGATCCATCCATACACCATTTCCAGCAAGGGCTTTTCCTGGGACATTTCTCTCAACATCATACCTTTTTTTCCCCTTTGTCCTCTTCTCTTGAAAGGTGGGTCTCAGTCACAGGGCAAGGGAATCCCACAGACCCCTCACTGTATCCGAGCCCACATTCTGCCAAGAGCTGCACTCTGCATAGAAGAATCATAAATGAATACGGTACCATTCTGGTCCTCCGACAGCTTAAAACCAAACATATAGAAGAGACTGTCAGTATGGTTTTGAGCCAACCATAACCCTGAGTCTGAGGTCTAACCTTTTTGAGGCATGATTTCAGACTCTTGGAAGATGAGGTTAGGGCCTTGGGGTGGGTGGTCGCAGAAACATGATGGTAGGATATTAACTCTCTGCTGAACACAGATAGTCTGTCTTTATTCAAGCACAGGAAGATAATTTGCAGTATATAAAAGTGTTTTCTTTTCCCTTCTATATAGAAAGAACACAGTGACTATGAAAGCTCTTGGTGGCAGCTATATAGTGAGGCCCACACAGAAGTCATTGGACCTGTGCCATTTTTAACATATATAAATAACCTTATCAATGGGTCGGTGGTGATTAGTTTAATTTGATGGAAAAAATATAACTTGATTAGAAGGCAGGTAAACAGAAAGAAGGCATCAAATGGGCTATTCTCATGAACGAATAATTCCATGGAAAGAATAATAGTTTATTCGTTCAATAAATATTTTCTTGAATCCTTACCATAGGCCTTGCATAGTTTTGGATGACCAAGAATGACCAGAGAGATTTGAGACTGGGATGACTCTTTGCTAGGGAGCTGAGTGGTGGATTCCTAGAAACGACTAAATCTGGGGGATGAAAAAACAGCTGTGGGGCTAGACAGTAGCCTGTAAATCATGCCTTGAATGGTGTTTGAAACACGCATGTGAAATCCAATTGCACATTTTAATAGGGAGAAGCTGTGGGGCTGTTGGCTTTCAGTTCGGGTTTCCCACACTGCAGATGCCAGGACATTGTGAACACAGGCACCAAAAATGTGTTGCAGGCCTGGGGGGAGTAGAGATCCATAAAACCAGGGAAATCACCAGTGTGTCCTTGGCTTTCCGATTCCCTAGCGAGGGATGTGAATAAAACTAGTTGACATGCTCACTGCTATTTGCAGTGGTCAAATGCTTGCAGTCTTGAGAGCGAGCCAGTCTTCTCTGGCAGGAGGAAAACGGCTGAGAAAAGAAGGTTCTTCCAAAGCTGCTTTCCCTCCCAACCTAGAGGGAGGGAGAGGAGCCGAGAAGGCAGAGAGAGACAAGAAGGTGGAGGGGAGACGTCACCCCAGCTGCCTGACCACACAGCGGTTCTGAACATACACAGGGCTCTTGGGCTCTGGGCTGTCAGTCTTGACATGTTTCACCAGCACGAGAATCCTTTCTACATTCTCTGTGATCAGTTGTTGGAAAGAAAAGCAAGGGCTGTGTGGTGGTGGTTGTGTGTGTAGGATAATGGGAAATGACACATAATTGCTATTCTAAACAATGCATTAAGGGGAAATCATAAGGTTGTCAACAAAAGGAAGTGCTTTCTGTGTTTGTGTTTACCGGGTTCCTTCTGCCTTATAAAATATAGGACTGGATTTTATCACGCTTTTTCCACCTCTATAAAATGACAAAGAAACTGGAATAGCATAGTTTAGTTATGAGATTTGTTTGGCTCTCAGAAGCTGCATGAAACATGGGCAGTGGCTATCTCACTTAAAATTGAGCTGTATGGTTTCTAAGAAGTCAGGCCAATGGTGACGCTTCCTTGTTCTCCTCCCTTGAATTTCTCGCAAAGAACAGATTATTTTCTTCTGTCTACCCAGTTAAGATGCATGGAACTGCCGGCTTTAGGAAATAGCCACCGTGATGCGTTTAAAACAAAAATTAGACACTAAGACCTGGTACAAAATGAACAAAGTGAATGAGAATAACATAGTTCTTCGGTCAACCTAGGGAAAACACCGTGAACTTTTGGTCATGCTACCTTTTTCTCTTTATAGTGTGGGTCTCGATACAGTCTGCCCAGTGGAGAAGTCTGTGCTGTTACGATTTAACAGAAAAATGTAAGGAGCTTTTTGATTTTTTATTTTCTATTGGTAAAGATTTTCTGTTAGAACTTTCCAGTTGGCTTTTCTATTCTACACTCTAGAATAATGCTTGATAAGCACTATTTTTATCCAGATAACATCTCGTTGAAGAACTATAGGCACTTCTTCGTGTCATATCAAAGTCCTCTGCATTGTGTGAGGGGTTTACCATTTGGTCACACCTTCCCATTCCAGAGTGGCCTCACTAACAAGTACTGATGGGCACCATCTCTGTACATGTTCCCACCCACCCCCCACCCCCGTCATCTGACTTCTGCATTTCTACTCCAGTGCCTTTGAATGGGCTCTCCCGGGAGCTGGGAAGGATTTCCTCCCTGCCTGCTTCTGTCTGTGAGCCTCTGACTTTCACTTTCTCTGAAGACTGACTTTTACTGGCCCAACCCTCTACTCTGGTAACTGCTCTTTTTAAATTGTTTTTAAAAGTCTGTTTAGTTTTGAGAGAGAGAGAGGGAAAGAGAGAGAAACAGAGTGTGAGTGGGACAGGGGCAGAGAGAGAGGGAGACACAGATCCAAAGCAGGCTCCAGGCTCTGAGCTGTCAGCACAGAGCCTGACACGGGGCTTGAACTCATGAACCACGAGATCATGACCTGAGCCAAAGTCAGGTGCTCAACCAACTGAGCCACCCAGGCGTCCCTATTCTGGTAACTCTTCTATCGATGATCTCTTCAGTGCTCTACTTAAACTCCTGGGTATGTTGTTGGTTCTGTCCCCTAATATCTAATGGGGACAGTTAGGTAAAGGTACATACCGAGTATTTCTTCTGAATGACCAGCAATTTCTCAGAGACATCACAATTTTCAGTTCAGTTAATTGTATTGAGTCTCTTATGTCTAACTCCACAGAACCAAATTGTAGGAGGGTACATTTATTTCATTTCCATTTAAGAGTAAAGTTCCAGAGGCAAACATTCTAAAGATGAACCCTCAGGGACTGGTTTAACAGATTTTTATGAAATATTCTGTAAGACGAAAAGATCTACTTTGACAAAGGGTTTTAAACATTGTCATTGTTTTCTGCATAACCAGAGCTTCTATAGAGGTGGGAAACTGAAGGTTGAAACAGAGTATAAGCCTTTCTAGAAAGTGCAGTAGAGCTGGAGAGGTGTGACATTACTAGTGTGGTCCCCTGGCAGCAGAGCCAAATGCACATGGTCCTTGACCCTGGAGGCGGCTAGCTTCTTCTCCGTATCTTTGAAAAAAAAAAAACCAAAAATGCGTTTGGTTGCAGTGGAATCCAAATTCACTGAATTGGAAGCTATGGGATGAAACTGACCAACAGAGCCTATGGATTAATAACATCTTCTGTTCTACCTCAAAATTTTACCCACCAAGATTTTAACATGATATATTGGTTAGAAGAGATGCTCTTTATGAGACTTCTACTGGGTGATTTATAGATAAACCAGGGATGGGCAAACTGTTTTTGGAAAAGGCCAATTAGGAAATGTTTCCAGCTCTGTGAGCCATACAGCCGTAAACACTGTGTAAGTAAAAGGATATGGATGCGTTCTAATAAAACTTTATATACAAAAACAGGGAGGGCCAGATTGGGCTTCTGGGCAGTGTGTCACTGACCTCTGCTCTAGATGGCAGGGTGGGGGGATTACAGCAATACCCATGAAATTAATCCAGTCTTTAATAAATGTCATTATAACCTTTATATTTAACACAGAATATTCCTAGATGCCACTTAAAACATAACTTGACCTAAATATATTCTTTATTTAATATGTGAAATGTAGGGCATTAGATAGAATTTTTTAAATATTAGCCTGTGAATTACATTTAAGCTTAAAAGAAAATCTTCTCTAAGAATTATGTTGAGTCTAGCACCAAGCTATCAACTCATTTAACCTTGACTGCGGCAGTACTTGACACTTAAAAATTAAGATCTGAGATGCCTGCTTTTCAAAGAGGAGCTTTTCAGATTTCTAAATAGGTCAGACATAAAATTCAACCTTTAAGAGGATCCAATTAGTTGCTAGGGCATCAGACCTTCCACACAGGTTCCAATTGCAATCAGATTTCTCTTGGGGTGAAAGAAAGAAGAGGTGGTTTCTTTAAAAATGACAATAATGAAATGGAGACTCTAGAGTGAATAATTCTGAAGTACAAAATTTACACCATTTCTAGCACATGAGATACAAGGCATAATTTTAATGGCTTGACCATAATTTTTAATAGGTTCTGCTGGTCACAAAATTATCTGACCAGAGACTACTAACCTTCCCTTTTTGACATCAGACTTTCTACATTAAAATGTGATCTAGAGTTTATTTTAATGCTTCTTATGAAGAATGGTGTTTCTACTAGAAAGATTTAGAAGTTTGCAACCTCAGTGGTGCAGTGGGACACATGATTCTGTATCTTCTGTCACATGCCCAGTGGTCCTTAGAGGTAAAGCTGTTAGAACTTGGTATCAGTGGCAAATTCAAAACCTTCAGAATCATCACCACCCCAAAGTCGAGTGTCATGTGATAGACACTTCCCAAAGAATCCACCTGCCTGAGATTCTGTGACTTTTTGAATTAGCCACAGTTTCATGTGCCAAGGATTAAAAAACGTTTCAAGTGTAGGCTTTCTGTGTCCTGGGAACTTAGTCAACTAACCCATCTCCCTCTTCTCATGCCAAGAAAAACACTTGTTCATCAGAAATGTAAGCATATATCACTGAACTCATTCGGAGATAGCTCCTAGCAGTGCTGGAGTTTGCTTCACAATTCCATATCTGATATTTGCATCTTTTGGTGGATGGCTTAGATATTACCTTAAGTCTCCTAGAACCCATCTTGTGGGAAGTAACTAAAAGAAAGAAGAAATCTGCTTTATTCTTTGGCAGAAAATATATTCTGTCAATGATCGAATGCTCTAAAACCACTCATCTCGGTTCTTTTTGGAAAGACTTTCTCTTCTTCTCATTGCGTGAACCAAATTTTCTTTCCCTGGAACTGGAGCTAGATATTTTAGCCTGATTCTATTTGATATAAAATCCTTCAAACTCTTCTTGAGACTTGTGATTCTATAGGTCCTCTCCTTGTTTTCTTTTTTTTTTAATAGTTTATTGTCAAGTTGGTTTCCATATAACACCCAGTGCTCATCCCCACAAGTGCCCTCCCCCATGCCCATCACCCCCCTTCCCTTCTCCCCCACCCCCATCAACCCTTTTTGTTCTCAGCCTTCAAGAGTCTCTAGTGGCTTGCCTTCCTCCCTTTGTTATCCGCTTCTCCCATGGTCCTCCGTTAAGTTCCTCCTAATCCACCTATATGTGCAAACACATGGTATCTGTCCTTTTCTGCCTAACTTATTTCACTCAGCATAATGCCCTCAAGTTCCATCCACGTTGCTACACATGGCCAGATTTCATTCTTTCTCATTGCCATGTAGTATTCCATGGTATAGATAAACCACATCTTCTTGATCCAATTGCCCGTTGATGGACACTTAGGCTCTTTCCATGTTTTGGCTATTGTGGAGAGTGCTGCTGTGAACATTGGGGTTCATGTGCCCTATGCATCAGCACTCTTGTATCCCTTGGGTAAATTCCTAGTAGTGCTATTGTTGGGTCGTAGGGGAGTTCTACTGTTAATTTTTTGAGGAACCTCCACACTGTTTTCCAGAGGGGCTGCACCGGTTTACATTCCCACCAACAGTGCAGGAGGGTGCCCGTTTCTCCACATCCTCACCAGCATCTAGTCTCTTGATTTGTTCATTTTAGCCACTCTGACCAGCGTGAGGTGGTATCTCAGTGTGGTTTCGATTTGTATTTCCCTGATGCTGAGGGACGCTGAGCATCATTTCATGTGTCTGTTGGTCGCCTGGATGTCCTCTTTGGAGAAGTGTCTGTTCATGTCTTCTGCCCATTTCTTCACTGGATTATTTGTTTTTTGGGTGTGGAGTTTGGTGAGTTCCTTATAGATTTTGGATATGAGCCCTTTATCTGATATGTGATTTGCAACTATCTTTTCCCATTCTGCCTTGCTTTCAAATATTGTTCCGCACTGGAGGATTTTACTCAAGCAGAAGGGAAGGGTATTGGATTTTGGGGAACCAGCATGAGCGAGCCATGATTCAGAGGTAGAGATCCTAGGACAGTCTTGCTGGATCCAGCAAGAAGGTATGTCCTGAGCAGGAGGAGTAGGGGAAAAAGAATTTTTTTCCAGTGCAGAGATGGGAAGAAGATGCTAGAAATAATCTTTTAGAAACAATGATTAGTTATTTTTTTAAAAAATTGTATGAGTTTGGATGGTATAGCCCAGGAAAGCATGTCCAAATGATACACACATTTTCTTGTTGACTCACTCATCCTAAAGAATATCCTACGGAAGAAATCCCAGTGGTGGTGGTTAAATAAAAATGGCAAGGCAAGTAATGGCCAAAGTGACATGAGAGGTTCAGGTAGGAGGGTCTGCTTGCTTTTTGCTGGATTCAGTCCCTTGCAGCCTGTGCCCAGGAAGGGGTAACTTCCTGTCATAGAGGCTCTTTACTTGGCAAGAAGTTTCAGAGTCTTGAGTGCAGGGCCCAGCTAAGATTTTATTTACCAGTATGTTGCTCTTTGAGAAGTCATCCCAGGGTTAGGCTCTCCAGCTTCCTCGGGGACATAGAATATTCTTAGATGAATTCATGAAGCCGCTCTCCTTATGTCATTTTTTATTTTCATGCGCATGAGCCCTCCACCAAAGCGACAGTGGTAGCCAATCAAGCAGCGGGGCCATTAAAAGAACCCTTAATCGAGTCCTTTGCTTTTTAGCATCGCTGGCTGTTTTTTCCTCCTTAACCAGTTTGAAAGTCATCCATTCTGGTTTTGTGATAAAGAGTTCTACATATCTCTTGTTTAATTTCTACGTGATAAAATTAATCGTGAATTTTATATTTTTGAATTCTGCTGATTGCTGCAAATTTGTCATCTGATTTAATATGCCTGACGAATCAGAGGTACAAATTATTAGTCTCATTTT